TTATCTTTTCTTTGCCCTAACACTGTGCCCAAGGTATCATTGCTTGCATCACACATTATTTCGAAGGGTAGTTCCCATTCAGGAGCTGATACAATCGGCGCTTGAACCAATTTCTCTTTAAGAGTGTTGAATGCATGCAAACAATCATCATTGAAATCAAAAGGCACATCCTTAACTAGCAGATTTGTTAGGGGCCTGGCGATTTTAGAGAAGTTTTTGATGAATCGCCTATAAAAACCGRCATGCCCGAGAAAACCCCTAACATCCTTCAATGACTGAGGTGGAGGTAGCTTTTCAATCAGTTCTATTTTAGCTTTATCAACTTCGGTGTCCCGAGAGGACACCTTATGCCCTAGAACAATTCCTTCCCTAACAATGAAATGGCATTTTTTCCAGTTCAAAACAAGGTTAGATTTCTCACACCTTTGAAGTACCTTTTCCAAAGTAAGCAAGCATTCATCGAATGATGATCCATAAATAGAGAAATTGTCCATGAAGACTTCCATGAAGTCATCGATGAAGTCACCAAATAAGGACATCATACACCGCTGGAAAGTGGTAGGTGCATTGCACAGTCCAAATGGCATTCTCCTAAATGTAAAGGTTCCATATGGGCAAGTAAAAGTAGTTTTTTCCTGATCTACCAGTGCAATGGGTACTTGAAGGTACCTGGAGTAGCCGTCTAGGAAGCAATAATATTCGTGCCCTGCAAGTCTCTCTATCATCTGGTCAATAAATGTCAAAGGGAAGTGATCTTTCCTAGTGGCCTCATTTAGTTTTCGGTAGTCTATGCACACCCTCCAGCCAGTTATTGTTCTTGTCGGAGTTGATTCATTATTTTTATTTATAATTACAGTAATTCCACCCTTTTTTGGTACGACTTGAATGGGGCTTACCCATGATGAATCTGAAATTGGATATATAATACCTGCTTCGAGCCATTTCAGAATTTCTACCTTTACTACCTGTTGCATTTTAGGATTCAGCCTCCTTTGCGGTTGTGCCTTGGGGCTGTAGCCTTCCTCCATCAGAATTTTGTGTGTGCATACCAACGGGCGGATCCCCTTTATGTCTGCGATGCTCCATCCTATGGCTGGTATGTGTTGCTTGAGCATCCTCACAAGCTTTTCCTCCTAGAGACCTGTTCAGAAGAGATAATTACAGGTAAGGTGGAACTGTCTCCCAAAAACATATATTTTAAATGAAAAGGTAAGGGTTTAAGTTCCAAAGCTGGCGGTGCTTTGATGGAGGGTAATAATTGTTTAGAGGAAGTCGGCCCATCTAATGGTAGAAATCTCCCTTGTCTTGGCTTGCACATTTCTTGGCCAGCCTCTAAATAATTCATTGCCTCCTCTACTTCGTCCTCCATTACCTGCATGTTATTACAATAATTAATGAGACAGTTTGCAAGGGGGTCATCTAACTTTGATTTATTAATTTCTGTTGCCACCACATCAATGGAGTCGATTACATATATTTCATGTTCTTTCGTGTTAGGATACTTCAGGGTTTGGAAAACGTTAAATATCATTTCTTCTACATTAATCCTAAGAGTAAGTTGACCCTTTTGTACATCAATTAAGGCATTACCAGTAGCAAGAAAGGGTCTCCCTAGAATTAATGGCATCGATCTGTCCTCCTCCATATCCAACACAATGAAATCAGTAGGGATGATGAAATTCCCTACTTTAACTAAGACATCTTCCACTATTCCCCTAGGGTATTTAATGCTTCGATCGGCCAGTTGTAGGGTAATGGTGGTAGATGTTAGTTCATGTAATCCAAGTCTCTTAAAAATAGAGTAGGGCATTAAATTTATACTAGCACCAAGATCATATAAGGCTTTATCGAATTCAGCATTCCCTTTGGTGCAAGGTATAGAGAAACTCCCTGGATCCTTCAGTTTTGGGGGTAGCTTATTTTGACGAATGGCTGAACATTCTTTGTTTAGCTTTACCATCTCGCAATCCTCCCATTTTCTTTCATTGGACATCACTTCCTTCAGAAATTTGGCATACTTGGGCATCTGTGATAATACATCAAGAAGAGGAAGGTTAATATGAAGCTTTTTAAACACTTCCAAAAATTTTTCAAATTGCTTATCTAATTTAGCCTTCAAGACTCTTCTTGGGTAGGGAATAGGAAGTTTAATTTCATGTAAATTCAGTTTTGGGGTACTTCCCTCAATCTCCTTTTGCAGATTAGCCGATTCAGCTTCCTTGTCATCTTCTTGGGCTTCGTCGATTGTATTCCCGCTTCTTAAGGCTATGGCGTTCACATGCTCTCTGGGATTCTTTTCTGTGTTGCTGGGTAGCCTTCCCTCTTTTCTTTCTGACAGCATGCTTACAATCTGCYCCACTTGAACTTCTAAGTTCTTAATCGATGCTTCTTGACTTAAGAACCTCTTATCTTGTTCTTGAAATCATGCTTCAGTAGCAGTAATGAACTTAGAGATCATATCTTCTAGATTGTTCTTTTTTTCTTGTGGGGGCGGCTGTGGCTGAAAACCCATGGGTGCCTTTTGCTGATTATTACTCCATGAAAAGTTTGGATGATTCCTCCACCCTGGGTTGTATGTATTTGAGTATGGGTTGAAGTTTGACCCGCGAGCATGAGAGATAAAATTAGCATTCTCATGGGAAATAAAAGGACTATTTAATTGACAATCAGAATTAGTATGTCCCATTTGACCACATAAATCGCAAGAGATGCTAAATGGTGTATTAATGGCTGCAATACTAAAATTATCCAGTCTCTTATTCAGATTAGCAATTTGCGCAGATAGGGGTGCAAAGGAATCAATGTGGTGTACTCCCCTCTGATTAGTTCGGTCATTGCTCCACAAATAGCTATTTGATACCATCTCCTCCACTAGGTCATATGCTTCCTCTGGAGTTTTCCTCATGATCGTACCACCTGCGGCTGCATCAATAATGGATCGGTTAGATGGGGTAATACCATTATAAAAGGTCTGAATTTGACGCCAAATTGGTATCCCATGGTAAGGACACTTCCTAAGCATCTCCTTAAATCGTTCCCATGCTTCATACAAGGATTCCCTCTCAAATTGAGAAAAAGTAGTAATATCATTTATTAACTTTGCTGTTTTAGAGGGTGGGAAATATTTAGCCAAAAATTTTTGGGTTAGATCATTCCAAGTGGTGATACTTCCTGCAAGGAGTGAGTTAAACCAATCTTTAGCTCTATCACGCAATGAAAAAGGAAATAATCTAAGC